GGGGGTGGATGCCCACAGACAGGGGCCGGGGACAGTTCTGTGGGGGCTGAACAACTTCTGGGTCGGGTCCAGGATGCAACTGGGAATGCCAGGCTCCCAGGGCAAGGTGCTGGGAGTGTGGCCTGAGGGGAATAGGAAGCTCGTAGAGGTCAGGGGTCAGAGAGGAGGAGGCCAGGGTGCCCAGAGTTGCCTTCTGGACTGTGTCCCGGCAAGCCAGAGGTCACCCTCTGGCTTCCCCCTGCCCCAGTTGTGGTTCCCCAACATCCTGCCCAGTCACAGGGGAGGCTGAGAGCAGCCAGGACAGAAAGGCCCTGGAGACCAGGCGTGGTCCTGGCCCTGCCCTGCTCCCCACACCCCAGCCCAGCAAGACAGACTATGGCAGGTCCAGGGAGGTTGGCAAAGGAGGGGCTGCCTGGTCTGCCTTCTTCCCCATGCTGCCCCTGCTCCCTGCACTTAAATAAAAAAATTCACACTAAAGTGAGATCGACTGCCCAGCTCCAGAGAGGGCATTTGAGGGGGCAATGCTTGAGCCAGGTAGGCTGGGCGCTGATGGTGGAATTCCAGGCAGGATCACAAGCTAGACAGAGAGGCAGGAACCCTTTCACATCGGGAACTCTGGCTTGACATGGCCCCCTTCAGGGCCCATCCATCACCCCAGAAGCTGGGACCTTGATATACCCAGGCCAGGCGAGGGGCCAGAGACCTTGAACGATTTCAAGCATCTTTATTCCAGAGAACAAACCCCAAAGGGCAAAGCAAGGGCGTCTGGCGGACTGAGTCAGTGTCACTAGGGGTCTTTGGGGGACCCCTGAGCCCAGGATACACACACTCCGGGAAGCAAAGAGGGAGCCTTCTCTTGGCAAAACTCACAACCGAGCCTGTCCACCCCGCTCCATGTGTGTTCTCAGGGGGGCCTTCTGAGCAGCCTTGATGTGAGGGCAACGGGACCAGAGCAGACGGAGCTGGACCAGACTTGGGTTCGAGTCCTGCCTTCTCCCTGGACCTCCATGTCCTCACCGGTCTGGTCTGCGGTAGCGATCCGAGAGAGGTCAGGTGTGAGGGAAGATGGTCTGTTGTTAACAAGTGCCTCCAGTTGGTTTTCAGCTCAGCAACCCCAGGGGACAGACCAGAACTGCGAGAACAGGACCTTCCAGGCTTGTCCCCTTTACGGGAAGCAGGTGAGGTTGTCAGGTGTGTGTGTGTGTGTGTGTGTGTGTGTGTGTGTGTGTGTGTGTGTG